CTCACCAAATCTGCTTTCTGATTAAACAGCCCACCCCACCCAACACAACCACCAAAAGGCCTGAATCATCGTGTCTCTGTTACCAGAGCCCTGTGGGGTACCTGTCAACATAATAATCCCAGGCTGCCATGCCATTCAAAAAGTATTTGCAAGATTCAGACCCCCACATCAAGCTCTGCAGCACCAGTAATTAATCACTACCATGTCCCAGTCACGCAATTTCTTCTGTCTCAGAAGATCTCACATTCTTTAATACAGGCAATTTGATGGTGATTCAGAATGCAACCTATAACCAGCGTTCACACATTCAATACTGTACTACCTGTGTAATCAGAATCGCTGTCCTGACTTACTCAGTTCTCATAAGCTGCAGGCACCAAATTAGATCTTTAGAGATTCTGAAGCCAAGCAAACCTGCTGCAAGACTAAATAAACCTTGCATATCAGCACTGGATGGCCAGGGAATACAAGAAAGGTTTGTTTAAAGAATGCCCTTCTTCTGAGCTCATTATTCTAAAATACCATTTCTATATTCTACCCATGACAGCATCCAGTTCATTCTTAAAAGAATCCTGTGTCCTGATCTTACCATTAGTCCTGATAACCCACTCCAGGTGTTCATTAACTGCTGTGTAAATATTTCCTGGTGCCCGTCTTAAACTTGCCATCCACAACCCTGAACCTGTACTCTCTTGTCCTACGTTTCACAAAAATAATCTCAGACAGACACCAGTTACAATGATCTCCACAATATTGCATACCTTCTCCATTATTGCTGAAGGCCACCGAGATGCTCATTCACGCCTTTATTATGTCCAAGCTTGATGATACCAACGCTCTGCTTGCCAGATACTCCAGCTCTTCCCTGCTTAGGCAGCGAACTATCCAGAATTCTGTAGCATGTGTCATCTCCCCTACACGTGCCGGCCAACCCTATTTCCAGGTGTGCCTCAAAACTTACCCCATCAACCTGGCTTTCAGTCATCTTTCTCCTCTGCAACCCCTCAGCTCCCACCCTTAGCCAGATTTGTAAAACGCTTTGTGATGTCCTTCCGACTTGAAGGCGCTGTATAATTGTAAATTGAATTGTATTTCCAAGAATTGTCCCAGGTATTATTTCTCTATCTCATTCAGTATTTTATGAATGCCTAAACACTCCTTTCTGAGACATCCTTTCAAGTCACTGCCGGACTGCGCAAACAACTGTCAAAGATTCACCATCAAATGTTCCAGAAATCAGACATGTAACTTTGAGGGGACCAAAATAAATAACATTTCGCAATAAAGAATAAGCGCGGAACAAAATGTTCCCTAGTGTCAGCAAACAACGAGCGATAGATCCAGCAGGGCAAAGTGCTGATATGATGAGAATGCAATAATTATTATTTTAACATCCTAATTGATGACATGTACGGAGTCCTGGCACGTGGAGTATGTGACCTCCCTTGCCAATGCAAGAAGACTGTTTTGTTGCTTTTTCAGATGGTGTAAAACAAGAGCTGCTGCATTTGGCCACATCACTGCTGTTTGGAATGAGTCAGGGCCAGAGGAATGCCGCTCAACCCAGTTCCCTTCTTTCACACATTCACATTCAGGACGCTGCCCTGTGTTAAGCATACTATAGAATTGCAAGTTGTTGAAGCTGTTGTTGTTGTAGACCTCTCTGATGATCCATGTAGGAGTTGTGCTATAAATGGCACATTACTGTCTACTAACAAAAAACGGAGTCAGTCCACTGGCTTTACATTGTAGCTGACGGGTTTTCGACATACTGTAAAATCAATGGCCAAAGGCTTGCTCAAGCTGTGACGTGGAATGACAGAAACGGGCCATCGAAGCATTCGAGATCTACATGCAAGGAATGTAATTTGAAGCCCACATTTTGCAGAGAACTGTTTATTCCACGTGGATTACCGGGTGCAGTTAAACCTCACACTGAGAAAAGACAACGTGGACTGTGTGTGTGTCTGTGCTTGTGTGTGTGTGTGTGTTCCAGCAATTAAAATAAATGACAGTCAAGAATAACACTGCCAGCACTTTTGGTTTGTGTGTCAGTCGCCTCTGGGATAGACACTCTGTCGTGACTCGGTCTGCTATGGTTACATCTTCACAACTGGAAAACAATCACACTTCCTTCTATTTAGCACCTCGCTGGGCAGGTTCTACAGGCTCACATGTAGATGGTGTAATGAACCCTGGCATCAGATACAACTGACCTAATGCAAACTTGCTCAAACTACAGTCCTTCACTTTGGAAGTTTTAACAAGGCAGACAAATCCATTTGTCTGCTATGTTTTTGTGTGTGCACCGTGTCGTTGCCTACATTCTTTCAAAAAAAACAACCATTCTGACCTAAAAGCCGAGACATTTTTTCCACTTGTTCTGCATGGCAACGTTCACAGTAGAAAAGCCATCTGGATTCCCAGCGTTTCCCTTCCACTTTCTGTTCAAACGTTGAAACACTGAAACTCAGTGGGGGGGGGGCTTGACTAAAGCACTGATGTGGGGAATTGCTCCCTTCATCTCTGCTATGTAGACATGTGTTATATAATAGTGATACCCCCACCCTTACTCCCACTCCACTCCACCCACTCTCAGAACAGTGATGGGAGTTAAAATTCCCTGCAGCTGATCATATGATACTTCATGTGGCTTAAAAAAAACACAGCACATCAAATAAGACAAGAACACCCTCCTGTTTCTAAAGGCTAGGCCTTCACTGACAATCAGTCTGCAGGGAAACCACACACTGGAGTACAGAGCGACTCATTTCAAAATGAATCTCATGTTGTCATTCACTTGATTTCCTGCCACTTACTCTGCCATATTCTATATCTTTTTCCAGTGTCTGATGCAAATGATTACCTCGAGCCACGGCTTGCTTATGCATGCATTGGGTCCACAGCACTCCGAGGCATATCAAATAATTGCCAGCCAAATCTGGACTGCAACGTTCTCCCTCTCACTGAGTCTCAGACCCTGTCTGACATGGCCCGCATTGTGAGCACCAGGCCAGGGAGCCCGGTCTCTCTACTGCCCTTTCTTCATTCCCCACAGGCCCTCCCTCTGCAGACAGCACAGAGGCAGCAGTATGTGTGTGTGTATGTTTGCAAAGATCAAGTCAGGCCCTATTTTAACATGCCCACATTTAAGTACAGTACTGAACACAGATATTCTTTCTGCTCAGTAGGAGTTCTAAAATCAGTGCACCTCTCCCTCGTCCTCCTCCTCCTCCTCCCCTCCACCCCCCCATGATTTTCAGTTTCAGATTTGGAAGTTCATGTGCTGGCATCTCTGTTGTGACTCGGATCCTGACCCCCATTTACCCTGGCCCTGTGCCATGTTAAGTACCCGCCACACAATCAAAAGGTAGATTAATCGCACAGGGTGACGTCATTTAATTCACTTAACTATTCCGACTGGGATCCTGCCGACCACACTCCCTGCTCCCAGGAAAACTCCAGATGGTGCCTGCATTGAAGTTCTGATAGGCGTCGTAACAACAAACAGCACAATAGTAGTGAATCATCATTGACAAGCTTCGCCTCCGTAAACTTCTGCTAAACATTTGTCGCTGAGATATCTGGGATTTGAGTCAGCAATTGGCAAAGAAGCCAAATGCAGTGAAGCGCTTTGAGGCACCCTCCCAACGTGAAAGCTGGTATATTAAATGCAATGATTATTGTCATTAAATATCGAATCTCGCAGGTAACTGGTTGCACAACAGTCACATCGGAGTGAAGTTCCTGCGAGTGGGACTGACGGACATCCGGTCACCGGTAGGATTCAACACTTGCGAATCCTTCTGGAGAAACGGGTCTCGTTTGCAACAACAACTTGCATTTATATAGCGCCCTACGGGCAGGGTAGCCATCCCGGAGCGCTTTAATGGGAAGAGAAGAAGTAAAATAAAAGCCCAGGGAATTAAATCAGGTCACACCCGTCTCCCCATCATCACGGTTACGTTCGCTGATGTCGCTCTGCAGGCAGAGCCAGGGAAAGTTTCGTCCCAAGAGAATAAATAGTCCTGCAACAAAAAAAAATACTACAAACCAGGGGAAGGAAGCACGCAAGGCGGCGGCGAAGTGACACTTCCAGCGGTGATCACAATGCACAAGATTTAGGAGTGCAAAGCACTGCTCCCATTTAACACTGATGAATGAATAAGATGCCCAGCTTTAGTGCGAGCATATGGCCGGTGTGATTTACAGTGCAGTGCCCTGTGTGACTCTCCAGATCTCTCATTTCGTGAGATCTTCCCTTTTAATAATGTGTGTGCAGTGCAGTGTGTGGTCACAAATGTCAGCAACACAGTTAGAAGCTCGAATCCCTCCCTAAAATAGATATGGCTCTGCAATCAGCTGTGCACGACTGCAAAGTGAAACACATCCATATCCATTCATTCACATGTCGTGTCTTTCAAGGTCCCATCGGGTACAACACAGCAGTAACGTGTTCCAAAGGCACTCATTACCCAAAGGAAGATGATGGGTTTGTGTGGATGCAAAAAAAAATTAACCTCTAAGTGATGGGGGGAGGGGGGAGGGGGTGGGGGGAGAGCTCCAGAACTCGTGATAATTCCTCCCTCCGCCCTCCTCCACACCCAAAAAAAAAATAAAACAGATTTTTTTAAAAAAAATTTAAAATAATTTTTATATAAAAAAAATTAAATTTTTTAAAAAAATTTTTTTTTTAAATAAAAAAAACAGACAAAACCACAGAAAACTCAGAACCATAAATCCCAGACACGACCGCTCCACACACACACACACACACACCCACAAAAAACAACAACAACAACCACCACCACCACCACCACCCCCCGGGATCGGGAGCCGTAAAAAGACAGAAAAAAAAAAAAAAAATCCTCTCCTGAACGACCCCCCAAAAAAGGGACAGAGAGAGACACACAGAGAAGAAAAAACAGCCGCGAAAAAAAAAAGAAGAAAAAAAAAGAGACTCTCTCTCTCTTCCTCTCTCTCTCTGATGGAGCACTTACCGTTGCAGAACTGCAGCAGTGAGGAGGTGTCGTAGAGGCCGCCGCTGTAACCCGGGAACCCGTCCTCCATTGCCGGAGCCGTTCCCCGCGGTCTCCCGGTGTCGGTGACTCCGCGCCTCCCCTCTCCCCCTCTCTCCCTCTCTCTCTCTCCCTCCTTCTCCCTCTTCTCTCTCTGTGCCGCACCACCGGCGGCTGCTCCCCATTCACCAGCCGCTCCGCCGGGGTCTCCCCGCCGCCGCCGCCGGGCCCGTCACCATAGCAACGCACTCACTTTAAGGATCCTCTCCCACCCCCTCCCCGGACCTCCCGGTGTCTATATATATATCTCTCTATAAATAGATATATATATATATATACACAGAGAGAGAGAGAGAGAGTATTCCTTCTTTTTTTCTTTTTTCTCTCTCCTAATAATAGTAATAATATTTTTTTTCCCTCTCTCCCTCTCTCTCCTTGTAATAGTAATAATAATAATATTTTTTTCCCCCCTCTCTCTCTCTCTCCTTGTAATAATAATAATAGTAGTAATAGTGATAGTAATAATGATAATAGTGATGATGATGATGGTGGTGCCCTCTGGAGTCTCCTGAGGCAGCTGTGTGATCGGCTCTCACACACTCTCACTCACACTCACTCACTCACTCACTCACTCACAGAGATTGACTACAGGGTTTGCACAATCTTAAACTGGTCCTGAAGGGAGAGAGAGAGAGAGAGGGGGAGTGTGAGAGAGGGAGGGAGAGAGAGAGGGAGAAAAGAAGCGGGAGGTTTCGAGGCTACGAGCAGAGAGAGAGGCGCTGTACTGTAAATTGGCTTTAAAAGAACTGCGTCTCCAGTTCCTGCCCCGACGGTAATCTCACAACCAGTGACAGACATCCTTTCAAAATACGGCCCCACGTACTCCTGACCCAATCTGCCTGACAGGAGGCCACCAGCTGGTGGGGGGGTGTGTGTGTGTGTGTGTATGTGGGTAAGAGTGTGGGTGTGTGTAAGAGAGTGTGTGTGTGTGAGAGAGTGTGTGTGTGTGAGAGAGAGTGTGTGTGTGTGTGTGTATGTGTGTAAGAGAGTGTGTGTGTGTGAGAGAGAGTGTGTGTGTGTGTGTGAGGGTGTGAGAGTGTGTGTGTGAGAGTGTGTGTGTATGGGAGAGAGTGTGAGTGTGTGTGTGTGGGGGAGAGTGTGTGGGTGCGTGTGAGAGTGTGTGTGTGTGTGTGTGAGGGTGTGAGAGTGTGTGTGTGTGAGTGTGTGTGTGAGAGTGTGTGTGTGTGGGTGAGAGTGTGTGTGTGTGAGTGTGTGTGTGTGTGGGAGAGAGTGTGTGTGTGTGTGGGAGAGAGTGTGTTTGTGTGTGTGTGTGAGAGTGTGTGTGTGTGGGTGAGAGTGTGTGTGTGTGAGTGTGTGTGTGTGTGGGAGAGAGTGTGTGTGTGCGTGTGAGAGTGTGTGTGTGTGTGAGAGTGTGAGAGTGTGTGTGAGAGTGTGTGAGAGAGTGTGTGTGTGAGAGTGTGTGTGTGAGAGAGTGTGTGTGTGAGAGTGTGTGTGTGTGAGAGAGTGTGTGTGTGTGTGTGGATGTGTGTGAGATAGTGTGAGAGTGTGGATGTGTGTGTGTGTGTGTGCGAGAGAGTATGTGTGAGAGAGAGTGTGTGTGTGTATGTTACATCCCACCACCAGCCCTGAGATGGACCCGAGCAGAGAGCAAACGGGGAGGGGGTTTAAGATGGGAATCTCTCTCTCAGGAATCTCTCGGTTGTCTCACGCTCAGTCGGACCACGTCTACGATCGCGTAACCGTTTCCACCGGTTCATCTGCGTGCCCCGGCCAAGCAGGCGGAATAAACAGCGATCTGACTAAAGAATTCACAGGGGAAAAGCTGGGCTTAATAGGCAAAGCGCGCACCAAGGCTGCAGCGCGTTGAATGACCATTGAATCGGGGCTGCGAATGAGCTTTTCGTTAAACAGCTTTTAAACATCGCCCGGAGGGTTCCACGTGGGGGAAGAAAGGCCAAAAAAATGACATAAAAATTTGGGCCACTCAATCCACCACGGTTTGTGGGACGTTGCTGTGCGTGTAACTGCTGTGAATGTAACTGTGCTGCCTGCGCTTCGCCCGTAAATTGCACAGTTACATTCACTTTACATTATATGCTGTGAAGCGCTTTGAGACGTCTGGACGACGTGATAAGGTGTTGTATATCAAATGCAAGGATTATTATTACAAACGCAAGTCACAAATACATTGATGCAAAAAACTGACACCGGTGTCAGCTTGATACAGTAACTGCGGCAGATCCCATAATAAGGCAAAGGACTTTTACTCTATAAAACTCCCCCTAGTGCTCTCTATCTCACCCAGCAAAAAACAGCAGGCTTCCTCTCTCTGCAATCTATTAAAATGCACAGCCTGGGGTTTGGCTGCTACGATAGGGTGTTTTCTCAAGATGCGAAGAAGTTAATTAAGTTTAGTTATGAAGCTTGAGTTTGTTTGGAACGAAAAAAAACACGAGGATATTTTTAGACCGACTTGAACACTCGAGTCAAGTCACCCTGCATTTTCCGGTTTTTGTTGCTTACAGTCACTCATAACCTTCGCAAATGACGTGACAATTCCCACCTTGTTTCCAAACCCCCGGATTTACCAGCGTTTCAGTCAGCTGAGAGTTAACACTAGAGATAAATTCTCCAGAGACACAAGGATTGTGTGTGAGAGTAAGACAGTATCACACACCGTCCTGTACTCAGTATTCACTTGAGCATCTCCTATTTGTTATTTTGGCATATCTGGGCCAGAGATTTTAGTTTGACCCAGACTGGATTCTTTAGGTTTATCACTCATATATTACCCCAGGTGGATTTAATTTAATTTATGTACACATTACTCCAGATGATTTTTTTTAAAGCGTTGTGTTTTTTTACATCCCACCGCCATACCCCCCCACGCACACTCTCACCCCGAGGAGCTGACTCATGCTGGAATAAAGTTCCACCAACGCCTTCGTAACCTTGGCCAAATGGTCATTCTGCATGTGGGAGTGTGTAGACAGTGAGCTATTTAATTGCAGGGAGTAACAAAGCCACAGCCTGATCCTAGCCTTCCCCTTGATGCCCACACACATGCACTTTCCAGGGTTACCAGATAATGATTAAGAGAGAAGGAACTCTTTAATTTTTCCCCTCTGTTGTGTTCAATTTTACCCTTTCACCACTCTGACTAAAATCAGTTGATGAATCCACTCTTGATTTTATATTAATAATATGATAGGTATTCATATATAATCATAATAATCCTTGCATTTGATATTGTACCTCTAACGTCAAAACATCTCAAAGTGCTTCTTCACTGGTGGTTGCTGTCAAGTGGAGTGACTTTTTGGTGATGGATTTGTTTTGTTTTGCTGGTGTGTTTTCAATGATTCTGAATCAAGGCTCTCTTGTGTTGGCTGAAATACTGAATGTTTGTTGCACAAGCAACAAAGGAAAGAATTTACCCTTTCACATTCAGGAGAGAATGTGCTGAGAAACATTTTCACGTTAAGTTTAACATTGAAATTCGTTTTTGTTTACTTTAGATAATTCATTTGACCTATTGGAGCCTAAGCAGTTAACGAACTACCTCCCAAATGAGCAGGAAACAAGATCTATCAGATCTGGAAGGCCAAGCAGAAGTTAATTATTGTACAATTCCAGGAGAACTAAGTCATTATGCTTTACAATAAATCCTGTGAAGCATTTGAGACATCCTCCTGATGTGAAATGTGCTATATAAAATACAAGAATTATTTATTATTCATTTACCATTATGTGGAATTATCTTTAATATTTCACGCACAAAATATACAGTCAATTCACTTTACTGTATATTCTGTGAAGCGCTTTGACACGTCTCAAAGATGTGATAAGGCACTATATCAAATGCAAATATTATTATTATTAATAGTACCTGCAGCATTTTTCCCCAATGAAATGACCACTTAAATAAGATACCACAACGCAGATGGCACCCTTGAAATTGTACTCTAACATGAGTCAGCGCCTGTAGGAGAGCTGCGAAGAACTCTGTGGGCAGGGAACCAGGGTTTTGGCACAGTAAACCCAAACCTTCGATTTATAATGTTCCAAGACAATACCTATGTGAAGGGCACTATGTACATGCAGATTGTTGTGGTTGTATAAGTAACAAACACATATTTGGGGAATGTAATATTTGTTTAAGATTTAAATACATTTTGTCTACTGCTACACCTGAAGGCAAAGTGTCTAAACAATTTGAGAAATCTGAGTCATTGGAAAAAAAGTGATGAGTGTCAGGTGGTGTTCATTACGCTGCTCGTATCTCCTCACTATCCGATATTCCACTTGACAAGCCACAATATTAATGTAAACCAGATGCTACATTGGAGAGTTAACATTCTAATAAGTTTTACCTGTGACAAATGGAAAACTTCTCCAGTCCACGGTAGCAGATCTAAGTTTGCTTGAGGTGCTGGAATGTAATCAGAGCTACAGTGCTGCAAGTCAGATTCCTCAAGTTCTATCACGTGAGACAATTTTTGCTTAACGTTCAAGATTGCAACAGAACCATAGAAAATCCTTAATTTCAGTTTTTACCTTGGAAGCAGGTTCTTTTAAGACCCGTGGAAATCAGATTCAAAATTAAGCCTGAATTCAAAAATGTTTCGCAGTTCTGCACGATCTTAAACTATAAGACAAAATGGTGGTCTTTCAGGCTGAGGCAAGATGGAATTTGGGGTCTCAAACTCTTTAAGATCTGCATGGACAATCTGCATCGGTTCAGAGACTCCAGTAACAGCATTACCCTGAGCCTGATCCTAACCCCTGGCTCCATTCATGTGCCAGGCATCAATATGGAAATGAGACGAGTACTCATGGTAAATCATCTTACAGCACCTAACAGTGTTACCATGGTGACAATCGCCTACTCTGTTGGTAACCCAATCACACAGAGTGTGCACCTGGAACTCAACTGGAATGCTGACCTGACATGTGGGTGTTCTCTCAACTCCATGTCAGAATACACGTTAGTCTGATTGGAGTGGCATTGATAATGGTGCAGAGGGAAGAGGGGAGGCTTGGTTGTGCTTTCCCTATGCACTAAAGGCAGTTCTTGTGATGGTTCAGGTGGTGGAGGCGTTCCCCTGGGAGAAAGAAAGCCATAGGAAGGCCCAAGGTTCAGTCCTCAGTCAGTGGCTGTGGGAGTTGCCCTTATTGGCCTAACCCAAGCAAA